ATTCATTTAGTTTTCACAATAAACTGGTAAAGAGATATATCTTTTGTTGCATCCATGTTACTAATAAGGAAACTGAAACACAGAGAGGTTACTGAACTTGCCCAGGGTTACAGAATTTACAGAGCAATTAAGGATTTGAACTCAGGCAATCTGGCTCCAGAGCCCTCATCTTAACTAATCCACTTGAAACTATAGCCTCTCATAACAAATGATAATTTAGCTTTCTAACACCAATCCTTACCCTCACATCTTCTAATACTTTTAGTTAGGTCAATAAACAGTTGTGGTATTATCATATATATTAGTTTTTATCCACGGTTTCTGGCTCATAACTTCCATAATCCTTGTTATAATGTTGGGGCACTTTAGGCCTCAGGAGAGAAACTCTCTCTCTGACCTTCTCCTGTCCTCTTTTCACCTGCCCAAGGCAGGACCCTAATCTGATTGTGGGTCAAAACACCCTCATTCCAGAGAGGGCCCTACACCGTACCCTGGAAGAAAGAATGTTGCACAGAGAGGTCAGGGAGCACCTGAATAGACAGGCCTTGCTGGGTTTAGATCAAGTGCTTTTTGTCCAATCACATTTCTACACAGTTGTCAATTATTATTATAATGAAGCCTCCACAAAAACACAAGAGGAAAGGGTTTGGTGAGCTTCTGTAAAGCTGAACATGTGGAGGCAGATAGGTGAATAAAAACTCATCCCTGTGAGCTGGCACACCCCAACTCCATGGTGACAGAAGCTCCTGCTCTCAAGACCCTTCCAGACGTCACCCTATGTATCTCTTCATCTGGCTGCTTGTTTACCTTTGTAATAAGCCAGTAAACATAAGTGTTTCTCTAAGTTCTGTGAGCTGCTCTAGCAAACTAATGAAACTGAAAGAGGGGGTCATGGGAATTCCAACTTGAAGGCAGTCTGTCAGAAGTTCCAGAGGCCTGGACTTGCTACTAGCATCAAGGGGAAGGGGACAGTTTTGAGGACTGAGCCCTCACCCTGTGGGATCTGACACTATCTTCCGGAAGATAGTGTGATAGTGTCAGAATTGAATTAGAAGATACCCAGACGGTGTCCACGGCTTGGTGTGTGGGGAAAACCCCCCACATTTGGTCACAGAAGTCTTCTCCTGTGTTGACGATTGTTGTGGTGTGACAGTAGAGGGAAAAACACAGTTTAAGAGTTTTTCCCAAAGCAACAGTGTTTGCATTATTATGGCTAAATATATATTGTGCACAAAGGCCAAGCAGTTTAACAAAACACTTATTTCTTATAAAGCTTTTTGTTATTTTTGAGATAACTGTTGTGTTTTTATCCTTAAGTAATTTTGTACATATTTATACCTACTCTTTGAAATGCTCCATCATATCACTTACATATCATCTCTACCAAGTTTTCCTTTCCCAAAGCCCCCTCCCGGAGCCTATCCAAATGGTTTTAAATCACTTTTTTAGGGGAGAGTCATCAAATTGGCATTCTTTTATTGAAAACAGTGAAGGGAAGCACAGGTAGCCCAGTATTATTGAGTTAGATGAAGATTGGAAAGTTCCTTTGTTGATAAGAAACTGTATAGATATATCTATATATGCATAAATACATTTGTAGCACACACAATTATGGATGGATCATCCAAATCATGGATTAAGCATGGTAAAAAATAAATTAAAAAATAAAAGATTTGAAAACATCAAAATTGCTACAAATCAATGAAAATATCCACATTTAAAAAGCCATCAACTGGGTGTGGTGGTTCACCCCTATAATCTCAGCTACTTGGGAGGCTGAGGCAGGAGGATTGCTTGAGGCCATAAGTTCAAGACCAGCAAGACCCCATCTCTAAAAAACTGATTTTTCAAAAGTTAGCCAGGCATGGTGGCATGTACCTGTAGTCCTAGCTACTCAGGAGGCCAAGGCCAGAAGATTGCTTGAGCCCAGGAGTTTGAGGTTACAGTGAGCTATGATGACACCACTGCACTCTAGCCTGAGCAACAGAGTGAGACTCTGTCTCAAAAAAA